AATGGATTTAACGTTAAGTCGACTCAATAATTCGTCAATATCATTTTATCTACTATCTTCATTGTTAATTGATTTAAATCTAATTTCTCCTGCTTTTGAGTGAGAGTTTTGAAGTTTCTTGCCAGTATCTTAAGAGGGTGTGGATGTGAGTGAAGATAAGATAAAATACATCCACACCCACTCCTGAAACCGAATTCTGGTACATTGTCAGTTCGAAAAATTTCGATAAATTTCTAACTGGAATCGATCAAAATGTGTTAAAAATAGAATAGAACCTGCGCCAGTGAAACAGTCGCCGGAAAGCAATGGCAAGGAACACGCCGAAGCATAAAAGAAACTGACCGATTCTAACTAGGTATACAGTAATGTAAGTAGTCATAGCTAAGTTGTGATAATAAGAACATATGATCATCAAGAAGGCTAAGAAAAGAGTTGCTATAATAGCAACAAGTATTTTTGTTTTTATTTTTCAGAGAAGTGTATCGATCAATGATATTTGCTGTTTGGTTTGTATAATACTTGGATGATCTTCTGGTAACGATTTTAAGTCATATAATAATGAGTTTTCATAGTTTTCTTTGGCCAATTTATATTCACCATTTAATTGATACAATGCTCCAATGTTACTGAATATCGTTGCAATTTCAGACGTATTTGATAATGGATTTTGTAAATAAATGCCTAACGCGTGCTTAAAACTTTCACATGCATCAATAAAATGTTGAGCTTTCAAATATATTGCTCCAATATTATTATATAATAAACCAAATTCCAAATGATTAGGTGGAAGATGTTGCAATTTAATGTTTAAAGCTCGTTGTAAATAAGCTAATGCACTTGTATAATCACTTTTTTCACTATAAACTGTTGCTATATTTATATATGTCATTGAAAGTGATAAATCATTTGAATCGGATGATTTCAATTTTAGATCAAGTGACTGTTGAAAATTTTCCATCGCTAATATAAAATTATTTTCGTCCAAATATGTTAAACCAATATTGTTATAAATAGTTGCCAAGTCCGAATTATTAAGAGGTGATTGTTGTTTTTCAATTTTCAACGCCTTCTCATTATATTTCAATGATTCAATATAATTCCACTGTTTTCGATATATTTCAGCAATGTTCATGTATGTTTTAGCAATAGATGAGTGGTTAGGATTCAATATTTTTTCTTTGATGTCAAGTGCCGACTTAAAGCAATCTAAAGCTGTGTCGTATTGTCCATTGTCACAAAATACTATTCCAACGTTATGATATGATTGTGCAAGATCAATATGATCAAGCGAAGGATACAATGTCATTCGAATATCAAGCGCTTTTTTATGATTAATTAATGCTTCCATATAATTACCAATTTTACGATAAATTTCTCCGAGATTATTGTAAATAACAGCATGATTTGTTAAGTTTGAAGAGTCAATTTTATCAAGTGCAAGTTTATAGTATTTGATTGCAAGTTCATAGTGACATTCATTCATATAAATATTGGCAATATTATTATAGATAGTATTTAAGAGTTGATGTTGTTGCAGCATTTGATTTAATATAATTTCAAGTGCTTTCTCATAATTTTCTTTAGCTTTTATTGAATTTCCACTATCAATATATATGTTAGCCATAGCATTATATGTTGTTGCAAGATCTATATGATCTTTTGGTAATACCAACACATGAATATCAAGTGCTTGCTGACAATATTTCAATGCCATTTCATAATCACCATTTGCTCTATATAGGTCACTCAGATTACTGTAGGTTATTCCAAGTGATGGATGATTTGAAGGCAAATATTTTAGTTTAATATTAATTGACTTTTCAAAGTTTTCAATTGAACGATTATACTGACCATTTTGATTATAACAAACAGCTATATTATTATAGATTTGTGCGAGACCAGGCTCATCTTGAATAATCGAAGAATAGAGCAATCGTAGTTCAAGTGCTGTATTATACATCTTAAAAGCTTTCTGATAGTCACCCAATTCGATAAGAACATTTCCAATATTACTATAGATTGCTGTATTTGAAATTGGATTCATTGGTTCCAATGATAAATAAATATCAAGAGCATGCTGATAATTTTTTAAGGCTAATTCAAAATTTCCTCTGGCATTATATACTAAAGCAAGATCATTAAAAAGCATTGCAATCATTTCATTATGATGATAAGTATTATCGAACAGTAATTTTGATGACAATATTTGATCAAGAAAAAGGCGATAATATTTTTCTGCTTTATCTAAATCACCCATTAAATATAAGAATTTTCCCAATGTCATTAAATGATGTTCAGTTTGGTTAATTTCCTTTTTAAAATGATTAATCAAATCACTTGAATTTTTATCTTCTTCTTCATTCAATATTAGTTTTACAAACCATATTTCATCAGTTAATAATTCGATACTATCAATACGAAATATTGTACCCATTGAAAACAATACTTCGTTTTCATCAGTATTATATGAATAATGGTGAATATGAGCAAATGGTTTTGTTAGTCGTTTTTGATTTACATTTATTTCAAATACAACTGATTCGAATTGAGGACGACCCATGCCATTACCAGAAAAATCAGTAGCAACATTACAAGATAAAGTTGTTGAAAAAAATGTGTTTACCGATATAAGTCCATTTATGTTGTCTTGCAATTTCTGTAACTCTTCTCGTGCTATCATTTGTCCACGATACATAATTGAAACACTAGTATTCATTTCGTTATTTGCTGCTAGATTTTCTAATTGTTGATAAAGATCTTTAATAAAAAAACGAAACTTAAATATATTGTTTATATTTTGAGTGCGCAATGCTCTATTTAATAAACGATACAAAAACGTATCACGTGTGTACCAACGAATACAAGTATCAGACGAATATGTTTGTTGAAATTCAATAATTTTCTTTTTTTCTATTTCGTCATTTTCATAATTGAGCAAACATTCATTCATCATTTCATTTTTTGAATCTATTGTTTGCGGCATTTGTAAGAGAATTTCTAATAATAATTGAAACCACATGAATGTTGCTTGTTCATTTGTTAAATCTCTAATAGATGTTTCTTTAATCGTCTGAGGATTAATAATACTGATAGGTAATGATGGAAAAAGATTATCGTTAAATAATTTTACTATCAATTGATTTATATTATCATAGATGTCGACAATTTTCGATGATAATTGCTTTATCAACTCACATTTCTCTTTCGAATTATTAGTATTATGAATATATATCATCTGAATATGTGATAATTCGTAAATTGATGGTACAATCAATTCAACAAGATTGCTTGAGATGATCAATGCAATATTTGAGTTCATGTTGATATAGTGTAGACAATCATCCGCATTGTCGAAGAGTTTTATATAAGGTTTTAGAGGTTTTAGTTTGATTTTTATCTCAGAATCATTGTTAATATTTGTATCGAGCCATACAACAGTTATCTCATTATCCATCTAGAAAAAGAATTTATTTGTATATGTTATTATTCAAAGAAATAAATGTAGCATATTTTAAATACATTATACTATTACATTTTTTTGTGTTTCTTTGTCTTGAAGTAATATAAGAGTGCTACGATGATACAAAAGAAGAAAAAAAAACAGTTCCTTTTTTGTAAAAGAGCGCAAAAAAAAACTATTATGGTGACATTTTTACTCTGGATGATCTCACGTAACGATTCTTTGCTAAATCCAATGTCTACTAAAATATAGACCAATGAGGTATTCAATTAAATAGTTTATCATCAATAGCTTGGCTACAGTTTAACGCGGTAACTGGGCAAAATTAATTAAATGTAGCTGTCTAGCATCAAACCATTTAAAAACTAATGAAAAACAGATACAGGAAGCGATCTAAACCGTTAGTATTTTATCTGTTGATAACGACACACAAAACTGATCGTTTTCTACAAGTAAAATATTAATTGTCTGGATCGTGTTTTTTTCTTCTGCCTGTTCTTCTCATTTCTCGCCCATTTCAATTTCGACCAGCATAGATTTCTGTCCTTTGCTTTCAAGATGTCCTACTTAGATTTCTATTGACTCAATCTTTGCTCTTATGATCGATAGATAAGTAGTTAAGATTCAGAAAAAATCTACTTATGTCCATGAAAGTAAAGTGCTTCAAACGAAAGCTAGAACTTTAGATTTGTGTGCTTGGGTATGAGGTGTGGGTGAAGTGAATACTCACACTCGTCAAGATTAGATATGGTTGTACTCACACTGAGAGCATACTTTGCAGTTCTATTTGAACAGCTCTTCCCAATCGATAACACGACAGTTGAAATCAGCTTTTACAAGCACTGCTCAATTCCATTTCGTGTCGACAGGCATTCAGAGTGTGGCAATCTAATGTTCACAATATTTTCTTTCTAGGCAATACCTTTTATGAGTACTCTTTCTTGATACTCTGCACAACAACATCTCAAAA